TGTATAAGAGACAGCGCAACACACACACACACTCTCACGTACGCACACACACACACACACACACACACACACACACACACACTCGATCTCACGTACACACACACACACACACACACTCACTCTCACGTACACACACACACACACGCGCGCGCGCGCGCGCACATCTTTCTCTTCTTTCTTATTTCTACTATATTCCTAGCACAATATCATCATGGCCTGACGAGAACGAAATTTAACGCCAAAAAACGCAGCCAATCTTATCCTTTCCCAGGCGGAACTTGTGTGCTATTTGTTTTTGTTTTTTTTTACTTTAATCTTTCAATTTATTATCTTTCCTCCTATCTTTTTTTTTTCTTTTTTTTTTTGAAAACGCATTTTTATTCCAGGCCCATCCTAAGGTTACAGTGGTACATCGTTTGCCAGGCACAGGGCTTGGTTCCAAAAATGAAAAATATTTCCGGAAAACACACACACACACACACACACACACGCACACACACAGAGAGAGGAGGATTCTGGTAAGTGGGAAACTGTCCATTATTAGCACGTCAGCCTTTTCTTTCATAACGCCGCCCGAGGTGAAACTCCGACGAAACAGTCTGGCACAGTCATGCCTTCGTTTTAAGGAGTTTTGTAGAGCAACACACACACACACACACACACACACACACGTACGATGAAGGCGTCGTCCTGGGTTGTGAAAGGGAGAGTACCAAGATGCTTTCTTATGGCCATCGCGGGTACACACCGTATAAACAACGGCTTGTGTCGCGATATGATTTGCAATTTGCATGGAATTGAAGGAGAGAAGGTTTTTTTTGGGGGGGGGGGGGGGGGGGGGGGGGGGGGGGGGGGGGGGGGGGGGAAAGGATAGGTGCTTTACACACGAAGGCATAGGTCCTGCGATCTGCCCTGAGGACGCTCTCGCTCCCCCTCCCTCCCTCCCCCTGGTGAATACCGCCCCCCCCCCCGTTAATTAGGATGGCTGGCAAAATACACACCCCGCTTTCACGCAAAAAGGGAGGGAGGGCAAGAGTGTCCTCGATGCAGATGACAAGATGCCTTGCAAACATTCGGCGAGAAAAGCAGATTGTGGACCGAGGCCCAAAGGGTAGCGGAGATCCAAAGAACAGTTCTGGTTGCATTTCCACCCTATCTTGTGTCTTTTTTTTGTCCTTTCTTTTTTTTTTTTTTTTTTTTCCCTCTATCTTATGTCCATTACTGCAGAGAAGAACTCCGGTTTCCGCAAAAAAAACAGTGATTATGAAACACAACCGGACAGAATCAGCACTTAGTGATCCGCCATCGCCAATATCATTTACCGCATCAACCGATCCCGGTCTTATACCCCCGACATCTCGACATGTCCATTTACTACACTCATGGCAGACTCACACAAGGACTATTCAGGATGTATCGAACGTCAATGACGGCCAAACGTGGATGTATCAGACCTCGACTACGTGCAGACTCAAGCTGGAAAAAGTCCCAGTGTGAATACCCTGGTATAGCTCTATCGCTTCTCTACTCGCTCTTGTATCTGGGAAAGGAAAAGGATGGCGGGTGAAAAGAATAGCATACGCGCACGCGCGAGCAGGGGAAGAGAGAGCGCGGGGTTGGCAGGGGAAGAGAGAGCGGGGGGGTGGCAGGGGGCCGAGAGGGGGTCGCAGCGAGTGAGCGAGCGGGAGAGAGACAGACAGACAGACAGACAAATTTGAGAGAGAGAGAGAGAGAGAGAGAGAGGCTCACCGACGGGCTGGCGCTGGCGTGGGAGATGACGTGTTCCCGGGAGGTAACCATTGCCTAGCGGATCACTGCACGCGATGGACACTGAGCTGGCATGGTCTTGCGGGGGATCATCCTGTGGTCCACTGGTCCAGTGGCTCGCCAGCCCGCGGTTCCACCTGGTGGCGGAGGCGCGCCCCCGCCATCCGCATCTCCGGTGGGTGGATACAGCGGAAGAGCGATGCGCTCATCCGGACGCCGCCGCCCAGGTCCCAAGAAGGGTCCCGACGCCGGGGGAGAGTGGAGCGAATTTGCAGCTAGAAGGGTGCGTTCGGCCTGGCGCCGGGTTTGTCGTCTTGCGTGGAATAGTTGTCCTGGACCCAAGGGCATCGCCCCAGCCCCACCACTCTCGAAATGCGCAAATTGAGAACGAACTTCCCGCTAGAACATGGCCAGATGCTTACGCCATATTTTGGTCTTTTTCACATTTCAAAGAGTGGTATGGCGAGGCCGAAAGTCCCACTTACCCGAGTAGTGTGGCCAGATGCCTACGCCATATTTTGGTCTTTTTCACAATTCAAATTTCCGACCTCGCTCACGAAGCTCAATGGCCAAGAATGAACGATCGGCGTAAGTGGGACTTGGCCCCTGACTTGGCCCCTGCGCGTAGAGATCGGGGTACGTGGTGGTGGGAGGTCTCGGAGGAGAGGTAAGCAGGGGTGGGCCTCGCAGGGGGCTGGTGGCCAGCCGATTGGTGGAATTTGCCAGATTGCCGGATTTGGAAATGCTCTTTTTGTTTGTTTGTTTGTTTGTTTTTTGTTTCTCGTGGCGGGAATTGAAGGAAGCTGATAGTTCGGTGGATGGAGACGGTTCCTTTGTTTTTTCGGTAAAATTCTCAAAATGCCCCTGGAATTTCCGTCTCTTTCCGATTTGCCCTCGGACGCCCGATTTCCCTGATTTGCCCCTGTTGCCTCTGAAATTTCGTGCAGACCCCTGTCAGTTAGGGGCCCAACTTCCGTAATGCCCCAATTTCCGGACCAGCACTCCTAATTCCCCTGGTGCCTCTGATTTGCCCTCCTGCCGGGCATGCATATTTCTGAGATGCCATTCAACAGGGAGGTGCCAAGAATTTGAATTCGAACTCCGCAGTTTTCCACGCCGCCGCAAAAAAAGCAGGGCTGCACTCCACGTCGCCCTTGCACCTCCAATCCACCGCCGTGGAGTTCGATCCTCTTCTGCTGCAGCACACCCCCTTTGACGTTCTTGGAGTTTGTTCCGGAAGGTCTATGTTCCACCGCTTCTTGCATGCCTCTCTCTCTCTCTCTCTCTCTCTCTCTCTCTCTCTCTCTCTCTCTCTCTCTCTCTCTCTCTC